ACCTTCAGTATACAATAATAAAAGTTATTTTACTACATATTATTAAGGCATAAATAGTTACACTGAACATCATTCGTTACAAATTTTTTTTCTGTTTGTTTTATATATTATATCATTCATACGTGAAACATGCTCAACGTGAAAAATCATTCGCATTAGAGTATGATATAATGAAATCGAATTTGAACCGAGTACGCATAATGTTCTGGAGCAAAGAACTGTTTCCTAGTGATCGCGTTGCATTCTATTGGGCATTTGATAACCCTAAATACACAATGGCGAGTGTTGCGTGGAATGTGAAAGATTTGCATAAATATCTTAGTAATACGAATTTTTTTTCCATTTAAATTTCAATAAGCTCTATTCTTTATTTGGTTTTCTTCGTCGTGGTCCATCTTCACCTATCGCTGACTTACTCTGAAATCAAATGAATAAATATTATAGCATAAACAATTTAATTATTTCAATTAACCCTTCACACTACTGGTTGCCATTTGATTCGATACAAGAAAATTATACACTTTGACATTTAATATTAAACTTCGTAGGATGCATCGTTACGTAAAATATCAAAATAAAATAGTTTTGTTCTTTAATTTACATGTGATTCCTCTTCAAGTTAGCTTCAAAATATATCATCCGTATCTCGTCAGAAAGCGTTGAATATTTCTGGTGAAAAACTTTCGAGTACAAAGGGTTAATATTAACTTGATCTTCTACTAACATTCTCTTCGCTTTCTATTATTTCTTCAGTCCCTTCGTTTTTATCAGGTTCATCGACTGCTTTCTCAATTTCATCCTCTGTCATCTCGGTTTTTTCCTCAGTTTTCTCTTCAGTTTTCTCCTCAATTTTCTCCTCAGTTTTCTCCTCAGTTTCACTGCTAGCTGCTTGATTTTCATTTTCTTCCTGTTGCAAGGCTGTTTCTTCATTTATATCTAGAGGCTGTTTATCTTCGTCTTTTAATTCGTATTTATCCTACAAAGTCAATTGATTAATTTCACGCTTTCCCTGTTGTCACTATTTCCACTGTATACTTCTACTTCTAATAAGCATAGTTCTTATGATCAGCAATTTGGATCTTTATGGCTTGATGATTGTTTATACCTGAGAAGCAAAGCAGCAACAATATATTACTAGCAGTATAGGGATACCAGCAGCTATTATATATACAGCCCATATCCACGGATGTTCCGCTGTAAATGTACCAATCTGACGCCATACGCTCCACTATGTAAAATAATTATGAAATTATAAATTATGGTTATATAATTTATGCGGGTATTCAATTGTACGATTTACACGGTGAGACATTTCTGGATGATATTCTTTCTACTTGATAATATAATTGATAAATATGTATATGTACAATCTACGGGGTGCCGTAAAAAAATATTGCCACACTTTATTAGCTAGTAAAACGCTGAATTTTATCTAAAAAAATTGTTTTTAGTGTGATAATATTTTTTTGCGACACCCTGTATGTTTATGTTATCTTTGCACTAATATGCAGGTTATCTATACAAGTATGTCAATGATAAATTGCTTAGCTTTGGTACTATTAATATTTACACTCTCGTATAAATACTGTAAGAAGCAAATAATTTCAGTAATCATCAAATGTACCTCACGAAATCGTTTCAGTAAGTACCAAATATATAATACAACTGGTACCGCGCAGTACAAGATATACAGCGCCCACCAGCCTGGTCTATAATTCGTAGCTTTTAAAATGCGACCCCATAAAGTTACCTGCATAGTATACCGTACATATATCACATTTACACGTACATATAAGTACTTGTCTCCTATCTTCATTAATGTCCTTCTTAGACGATACGTGAAAATTATTCAATCAAAGAGTCCTTAAGTATAAAAAACAAATTACTCACACTCTCTTCCGCGATTCTGGCACGACGTACTTCAAATGTATCGTCGGCCCATTTCTTTGCTACTTCTTCGTTATCAGTAATTATAATATTGTCGAAGAATATGTCCGTGGACATAGACCAGAGTTCGAAACCAACAGCGAACTACGAAATACAAATTTTCTATGTGATATTTACATTGTAAGATCTTAAAATAGTTATAATATTAGAGTGTAATATTAGAGAAGGTAAACATACGATAGGCGTCATTTGGAACGGATGCTCGTCATTGAAGTAATTAGGATTGTGTATCAGCCTAGGTTTCCATTTCCCTTTGTAATTGGGATTGTTAATTAAGGGCGGTGACCATTTGCCTTTGTACCGTGGATTCTTCTTCATCTTTTGTTTATATGGTCCGCATCCTGGTGCATCTGCGCATTTTGGATTAGGTATATCAGGAGGCTCCCATTCTCCATCCATTTCAACATCCCAATCTTCAGGCTTAACGGAATCAGGATTAGGAATCATGGTTGGTTCATCTTCGAGCCATCCCTCAGGCATTATATCATCTTCGTCTACAATTTGTGCTGGGGCATCTTCATCCCAGTCATCTGGCTTAACAGCTGATAGATCTGGAATCTTTTCCCTGTCATCCCAGTCCTCGGGCTGAACATCAGTGGGATCTTCTATCTCCAATGGTGGATTCACAGGGGGAGTGAAGTCATCCAGTAGTGAACCAGAGTTCACAACCTTATTGTCTACTTTAATTTCGAAGCTGTTGTCTGGACGAATAATCAAGGTATATAGGTGAGGTTGTTTGTCCTTAAAAAAGTCTTCCAAACGTTCTCTGGGCTTTTTACAATGTTTCTCCTCTATGGAACCATTCAGAGGATTTTTATGCCGGAATATGAAATGTAACTAAATAAACATAATTTAAAATTAGTATATAGAATGACTATGTAATAAGCAGACTTTTCTTTTTTGTATACCTGATGATCATTTCCACATTTGTCAGGACCGAACATTATAGAATAAGGAGTTTTGTCATGAAAATTCTTCAGATCTGCATGTTCTGGATCCAATGTAAGTAGCTTTAAGTAAGCTCCTCCACATTCTTGACCTTCTTGGAAATTCACTTCGTATTGTACTATTAAAGGTTTATCTTTAAAATAGAATGGTTCAGACAATACAGCGGACATCGCAGCATGTCTAGCTTTACTCTTAAGCACTAATCCTAAGTCGCCCTCTTGCGCGTGTTTCTTGGGCTCCTCTACAGACCATATTCCTATAAAACAAATAAACATTAAAGAATGTTGTATTCAAGAAGTATATAATAACATACCATCATATTTCGCTATATCCTCATCCACAGAATCTTTCTTAGCTTCTGAAGGAACCCATGTCCTCTTGAATTTTTCAAGATCATCAAATGTTTCTACGAAATACGCGAACCCAGACACTTCTGGAGTTTTATATACTATTTCTGATACTACATCTTGGACATCGTCATCATTATTTTCGTTAGCTCTGATAACACTACACAGTACACAAAAATAAATAATTCCATTCACTACGAGTCTGGCCATCTCATATTCCTAAAACCAAAAATGAAGACAAAATTTTAAATTATGTATCTCATTCATTCCATTCCATTTCAAATTAAAAATAATAAAAGATAAATTTGATAGAGCATTGCATCATACAATGTATACATAGTTGTTTGCATTAATCTAGATCGAAAAAATGGTAAGCAATTCTACTTTGATAATTTTGAAATAGCATCCATATTTCTAGGAAAAGAAAATAGATAAAAAGCACCAGCCTTGAGAGATTACTCGCGCAGATATACAATCACACTTTTCTCTGAAACAAGATTTTTTCACAATTAAAGATAGCTACTAATCTCTCGTGACGGCTCTTACACGGGACACCCTGTATGAAAACATAACATTACCTTTAATGAAATTTTTCTTACCGGATTCGTGGTAGTTCAGTTGCGGAGCATCGATTCCTGTACGAATATCGTCTGATGAGAAAGCCACGTCTCGGGCTCGACCCAGTCGTGACTTATTTATTCAATTAAGTAATAATAGTAATTGAATTACACGTAAAGAGAATATCTTGCGAGCGTGCGTGCGTTCCAAAAAGTAGCGAGAATGCCGGAAACAAGGCGAGCAAGGGGAAAATTCTATTCCACTTGTAATTAAATTAATTGAATTATCGAGAAGCTTTCGTTGGAGCCTTCGGTCCTGCGAAACCGATTTCACTGTCGATCTTCCGTTGACGATCCACCTTCAAATGGAAAAAGAATTGACAAGCCCTGAACGAATTTCGTCGGTTCGTTTATTCTGACGTGTGATATGCATGTGACATACACCGTTCCCCCTGAACATCGTACCCATAAAATTCAATCGCCAGTGATTCCCAATCGGGCTCCCAAGGAATTACCCAAAGCAACGCAAATCATATGCACGGTGATAGAAGAGAATTCTTATATTTTAACAAAAATAAAAATTTCAGGGAATTTGTGATTGATTCCTAACTATATTTTAAATGAAAATCTACAAAAAATATGGTAGTTGGTATTGCTATAATTTCATAGGGAAAAGAAATGAAAATTATATTTTTTTGGCTAAATTTTCACGAGAGCGAAATTTGTGGTTGGAAACCACTGGTCTCGAATGTGCAGCGACATCTTTGTTCATTGACGATAGTTCTAGAATGATTAAACCATAGAAATTAGGTATGAATTATAATTAAAAATCCGCTTCATTCGTACGATTTTATTTTATATCAATAATTCCCGTTAACAATTAGTAATAATATTCTTCGATTATCGTGTTTCACGATAGACCGATTGATATAACCAATTTAACTAAAATGTTGCAGCCACCTAGCGATGTAACTGAACCAAGAATCACTCCTGGAAATATGCAGCAGTTTACATATACATGTAAGGAACGTTCTATGTGTAGTTCCAATATTTTGCCACTAGATGCTACTTTATAGTTCATGAATAAAATGATTATTTGTTAATGAAATTAAAACTGAAAATTCCATTGCACAGGAAGCAAACCCGTAGCAAGAAAGGTAGCCGATTTTGCTTGGATTCACACGTTAAAAGTAGGTAATAAGATTTTAACCTAAAACATCGTATTCTTCGAACGAAGAAAACGACAACGATTTTTCTTCACGTTGGAAAAATAAATTCTCCATTCGACATTACTGCGACTATTTTGAGAATATTACAATTTTCCTCCGCAACATGGCGAAATTTTAGAGGTTCATCTTTACTCTTATTGGTTCAAACTAATCGCCATTTTTGTTCTCAAGAGGTTGCGAGATCACGCCAAAAGTCGACAGGGGTAGAGGTATAATTAAAAAAATCGTGAAAATGTAAAATCATGCGCGTAATGTTATAATTTGAATCGTTAAAAATGTGTCTGGCCATGATATCGTATGGTTGACCCGATTGTCACCAGGTGTCACCCTATTGGCCGCCTGAACGAGATTTATAGGAGAATTCTACAATTTTCGTGGACGCTCTATAAATGTACCCATCATTGCATTAATTGTTTGTGCAGGGCTCCTGCATTGGGGTCAACTCTTCTTGATTCGAATGATTTATTTCTCCGCTCTACATATGAAAGAGCCCGAAATATTGGCGGTCGAGGCGTCGATAACAATTGATATCGAAACAATCGCCGTGTACAATCACGAACGAGTCGGTGATAGTCGTGTGATCGATAATAATGTTTGCTAGTACCACGGACACGAAGCGAGCCCAAACGTTGGTCGTGTTCAAAACGAAGATTTAATACGAGCTCTCCCTCCCCCTCACCCTGTGGTAAGCATAAGACATCAACAAGAAAGTGTCGCATAATGCGATAGAAAAAAAAGGATTTCAGGCGTCGTGACACGAGGTAGAAATTTTCGT